AGTAGAGTTACTGTAGTAGAATCAGTGTAGAAAGTTACAGTAGTAAATCGAGTGTAGTATAGTTACTGTATTAGAAACCAGTGTAGTAGAGTTTAGCTGTAGTATAATCATGTAGTAGAGAACTGTAGAAGAACCAGTGTTAGTAGAGATTCAGTAGAAAATCAGTGTAACAGAGTTACTGTTGTAGAACCAGTGTAGTAGAGCTTCTTTAGTAGAGTTACTGTAGTAGAGTTACTGTAGTAGAATCAGTGTAGTAGAGTTACTGTAGTAGAATCAGTGTAGTAGAGTTACTGTAGTAGAATCAGTGTAGTAGAGTTACTGTAAGAATCAGTGTAGTAGAGTTACTGTAGTAGAACCAGTGTAGTAGAGTTACTGTAGTAGAATCAGTGTAGTAGAGTTACTGTAGTAGAACCAGTGTAGTAGAGTTTCTTCAGTAGAGTTACTGTAGTAGAATCAGTGTAGTAGAGTTACTGTAGTAGAATCAGTGTAGTAGAGTTACTGTAGTAGAATTACTGTAGCAGAATCAGTGTAGTAGGTTACTGGAAGGTAGAATCAGTTAGTAGAGTTACTGTAGTAAAATCACTGTAGTAGAGTTACTGTAGTAGAATCAGTGTAGTAGAGTTACTGTAGGAGAATCAGTGTAGTAGAGTTACTGTAGTAGAATCACTGATAAGTAAGAGTACTGTGTAAGAATCAGTGGTATTAGAGTTACTGAGTAGAATCAGTGTATTATAGTTACTGTAGTAGAATTCACTGAGGAGATGGCATACTACCATTACGTGTAACATCATAGCTCCGAACACTTGACCCAAGGCATACATTCAAATCAATAACTCAATATCAATTTTTGGCGTCTGGTGGCTAGTCTAAGATTAATTTTCAGGAGCTTAAACAAAGAGCCATTCACGACCCCATAAGACATTTAACAGATCCATGTAGGAGTGTGTAGCATCAGTGTGGACCCCTCATGCGACATTAAGTAGAAGTTGAGCAGTTTGGAGGTACGTGGAGGCATCATAGTCGAAGAGAAGGATGTCTATACTCCGGTACAGGTCGAGAAGACGTTCATCTGTGAGTTCGACAGTTGGAACAACAACAGCTTCCCGCCCTAAAGCTTCGGTCGGTCTCCCCAGTAGTCCTGTTGATAACTTTGGGTTGAATGATGCCGTCGATCTCTGTAGGAGTAACAGAGAGACACACTAAATAGTATTTTTAAACTGTAGGATAAGTAGTGTTAGTGTAGCATGTTACTGAAATAATTGTTTACGTAAGCAAATGTGACAGTAGTAAGAGTTACTGTAGTGGAGTACTGCAGCAGTGTTTCATGTAGCACGGCTACTGTATAGTTGTTAATGCAGCAAGTGATACTGTAGCAGTGGTAACTGTAGCAGTGTTACTGTAGCAGTCTTAATGTAGTAGGGTTACTGAAGCAGTGTTTACTGTAGCAGTGTTACTGTACAGTGTTACTGTACAAGGTTACTGTAGTATTGTTTACTGTAGCAGTAAGTACTGTAGCAGTGTACTGTAAGAAGTGTTATGAAGCAGTGTTAACTGTAGGCAGTGTTACTGTACGTGTTACTGTAGCAGTGTTACTGAATGGATTGATACTGTAGTAATGTGGACAGTAGAGAGTACTGTAGTGGAGTTAACAGCAGCAAGTGTCCATGTAGCACTGTTACCTGTAGTAGTGATACTGTAGTCAGTGTACTGTAGCACTGTTTTACTGTAACAGTGTTACTGAGTACAGTGTTACGTAGCAGTGTTAACTGTAGTAGTTTTACTGTATGCAGTGCTATCTGTAAGCCATGTTACTGTAGCAGTGTTCTGTAGAAGTTGTTACTGGTAGTAGTGTTACAGTAGCAGTGTTTACTGAAGCAGTGTTACTGTAGCAGTGTTTACTGTAGTAGGGTACTAGTAGTGTTACTGTAGGCAGTGTTTACTAAGCAGAGTTACTGTAGCAGTGTTAACTGTAGTATGTTACTAACACAGCGTTACTGTAGGATGTTACCTGTAGCAGTGTTACTGTAGTAGTGTTACTGTAGTAGTGTTACTGTAGTGGAGTTACTGCAGCAGCGTTACTGTAGCACTGTTACTGTAGCAGTGTTACTGTAGTAGTGTTACTGTAGTGGAGTTACTTCAGCACTGTTCATGTAGCAGTGTTACTGTAGCAGTGTTACTGTAGCAGTGTTACTGTAGCAGTGTTACTATAGCAGTGTTACGTAGCAGTGTACTGAAGCAGTGTTACTGTAGTAGTGTTACTGTAGCAGTGTTAACTGTAGCAGAGTTACTGAGCAGTGTTAAACTGTAGCAAGTGTTACTGTAGCAGTGTTACTGAAGCAGTGCTATTGTAGCAGTGTTACTATAGTAGTGTTACTGTAGTAGTGTTACTGTAGCACTGTTACTGTAGCAGTGTTACTGTAGCAGTGTTACTGTAGTAGTGTTACTATACCTGTGTTACTGTAGCAGTGTAACTGTAGCAGTGTTGCTGTAGCAGTGTTACTGTAGTAGTGTTACTGTAGAAGTGTTACTGTAGCATTGGTAATGTAGTAGTGATTACTGTAAGTCAGTGTTACTTTAGTAGTGTTTACTGTAGCAGTGTTACTGTAGTAGAGTTTACTGTAGTGGAGTTACTCCAGCACTTGTTCATGTAGCAGTGTTACTGTAGCAGTGTTTACTGTAGCATGTTATTGTAGCAGTGCTACTGTAAAAGCGTGCTACTGAGCAGTGTTACTTGGTAGCAGTGTTACTGTAGCACATGTTACTGTAGTAGTGTTACAGTAGCAAGTTACTGTAGAGGTGATACTGTAGTAGTGTTTTACTGTACACTGTTACTGTAGCAGTGTTTACTGTAGCAGAGTAACAGTAGTAGTGTTACTGTATAGTGTTACAGGGTAGTATGTTACTGTATTAGTGTTTTACTGTAGTAGTGTTACCTGTGGTGTGTACAGTCGTAATTGTAACTGTGGTAAGTTGTTACTGTATCAGTGTTACTGTATTACAGTGTTACTGTAGTAGTGTTACTGTGGTAGTGTTACTGTAGTAGTGTTACTGTAGTAGTGTTACTGTAGTAGTGTTACTGTGGTAGTGTTACTGTAGCAGTGTTACCTGTTGTATGGTTACTGAAGGGAGTTACTGCAGCATGTACATGTAGCGACTGTTACTGTACAGTGTTACTGTAATAGGTTGTTACTGTAGTAGTGTTACTGTAGCAGTGTTACTGTAGTAGTGTTACTGTAGCAGTGTTACTGTAGCAGTGTTACTGTAGTAGTGTTACTGTAGCAGTGTTACTGTAGCAGTGTTACTGTAGCAGTGTTTCCTGTTAGCAGTGTTCTGAAGGATTATATTTTCTGTTATAATTTACAGTAGTAAGATTACTGTAATGGAGTTACTGCAAGCTGTTTCAGGTAGTCACTGTTACTGTGTAGTGATACTGTAGTAGTGTTACTGTAGCAGTGTTTACTGTAAGCAATTAGGTTACTGAATAGTGTTTACTTGAAGTCAGTGTTACTGTCGTAGCTGTTACTGTAGTAGTGTACTGCGTAGTTTGTGTTACCAGCTACTGTAGCAGTGTTATTCTGTCAACATCAGATGTCATCATTCTTTCAATATAAGGTGTTATCATTCTCTCAACAACAGGTGTTATCACTCAGTTAATGACACGTGTATGCAGTTAAACAACAGGTGTTATAAGTCAGATCACGACAGGAGTTATCATTCGGCCCACCACAGGTGTTATCACTTTGTGCACGACAGATGTTATTACTCACGCCGCGATGGATGTTATCATACAGACGATAGATGTTATCACTCAGATCTTAACAGGTGTTATCATACAGACGATAGGTGTTATCACTCAGATCTTTAAAGGTGTAATCATTTTGACTACAGGTGTAATCACTCAGACAACAAGTGTAATCACTCAGACAACAAGTGTTATCACTAAGATCACAGCATTTGTAATCACTCAGAGAACAGGTGTTATCATTCAGATAACAGGTGACATCACTCAGACCACAACAGGTGTTTTCACTCAGAAGAAAAATGTTATCCCTAAGACGACAAATTTTATCAATCAGACGACAGGTGTCATTACTCAGACGACAGGTGTTATCACTCAGACTACAGGTGTTATCACTCAGACCACAGCAGGCGTTATCAGTCAGAAGACAAATGATATCCTTAAGACGACAGGAGTTATCCCAAAGAGGGACAGGTTTTATAACTCGGACGACAGGTTACATAACTCTGACATCAGGTGTTATCATCCAGACCACAACAGGTGTTATCATTCAGACCACAACAGGTGTTATCATTCAGACCACAACAGGTGTTATCATTCAGACCACAACAGGTGTTATCATTCAGACCACAACAGGTGTTATCATTCAGACCACAACAGGTGTTATCATTCAGACCACAACAGGTGTTATCATTCAGACCACAACAGGTGTTATCATTCAGACCACAACAGGTGTTATCGTTCAGACCACAACAGGTGTTATCGTTCAGACCACAACAGGTGTTATCATTCAGACCACAACAGGTGTTATCATTCAGACCACAACAGGTGTTATCATTCAGACCACAACAGGTGTTATCATTCAGACCACAACAGGTGTTATCATTCAGACCACAACAGTGTTATCATTCAGACCACAACAGGGGTTATCATTCAGACCACAACAGGTGTTTATCATTCAGACCACAACAGGTGTTATCATTCAGACCACAACAGGTGTTATCATTCAGACCACAACAGGTGTTATCATTCAGACCACAACAGGTTTATCATTCAGACCACAACAGGTGTTATCATTCAGACCACAACAGGTGTTATCATTCAGACCACAACAGGTGTTATCATTCAGACCACAACAGGTGTTATCATTCAGACCACAACAGGTGTTATCGTTCAGACCACAACAGGTGTTATCATTTAGACCACAACAGGTGTTATCACAGACCAAGACAGCTGTAATTACTGAGATAAGGAGACATACTTGAAGTGTTGATGATGTAGTTGGCGTCTTCCCTCAGCGTCTCTACCTGTGAAGACACAGACGATCAGTTCTTCTTTTCTGTTCTTCACTCAGTCAGTTCTACTTGTTCTTCACTCAGTCAGCTCTACTTGTTCTTCACTCAGTCAGTTCTACTTGTTCTTCACTCAGTCAGTTCTACTTGTTCTTCACTCAGTCAGTTCTACTTGTTCTTCACTCAGTCAGTTCTACTTGTTCTTCACTCAGTCAGTTCTACTTGTTCTCCACTCAGTCAGTTCTACTTGTTTCACTCAGTCAGTTCCCACTTGTTTATTCACTCAGTCAGTTCATACTTGTTCTTCACTCAGTCAGTTCTACTTGTTATTCACTCAGTCAGTTCTACTTGTTCTTCACTCAGTCAGGTTCTACTTGTTCTTCACTCCCGTCAGTTTACTTGTTCTTCACTCAGTCAGTTCTACTTGTTCTTCACTCAGTCAGTTCTACTTGTTCTTCACTCAGTCAGTTCTACTTGTTCTTCACTCAGTCAGTTCTACTTGTTCTTCACTCAGTCAGTTCTACTTGTTATTCACTCAGTTCTACTTGTTCTTCACTCAGTCAGTTCTACTTGTTATTCACTCAGTCAGTTCTACTTGTTCTTCACTCAGTCAGTTCTACTTGTTCTTCACTCAGTCAGTTCTACTTGTTCTTCACTCAGTCAGTTCTACTTGTTATTCACTCAGTCAGTTCTACTTGTTCTTCACATCAAGTCAGTTCTACTTGTTCTTCACTCAGTCAGTTCTACTTGTTCTTCACTCAGTCAGTTCTACTTGTTCTTCACTCAGTCAGTTCTACTTGTTCTTCACTCAGTCAGTTCTACTTCTTGTTCTTCACTCAGTCAGTTCTACTTCTTGTTCTTCACTCAGTCAGTTCTACTACGTGTTCTTCACTCAGTTCTACTACTTGTTCTTCACTCAGTCAGTTCTACTTCTTGTTCTTCACTCAGTCAGTTCTACTACTTGTTCTTCACTCAGTCAGTTCTACTACTTGTTCTTCACTCAGTCAGTTCTACTTCTTGTTCTTCACTCAGTCAGTTCTACTACTTGTTCTTCACTCAGTCAGTTCTACTACTTGTTCTTCACTCAGTCAGTTCTACTTCTTGTTCTTCACTCAGTCAGTTCTACTACTTGTTCTTCACTCAGTCAGTTCTACTACTTGTTCTTCACTCAGTCAGTTCTACTACTTGTTCTTCACTCAGTCAGTTCTACTACTTGTTCTTCACTCAGTCAGTTCTACTACTTGTACTTCACTCAGTCAGTTCTACTACTTGTTCTTCACTCAGTCAGTTCTACTACTTGTTCTTCACTCAGTTCTACTTGTTCTTCACTCAGTCAGTTCTACTACTTGTTCTTCACTCAGTCAGTTCTATTACTTGTTCTTTACTCAGTCAGTTCTACTTCTTGTTCTTCACTCAGTCAGTTCTCCTACTTGTTCTTCACTCAGTCAGTTCTACTTCTTGTTCTTCACTCAGTCAGTTCTACTACTTGTTCTTCACTCAGTCAGTTCTACTTCTTGTTCTTCACTCAGTCAGTTCTACTACTTGTTTTTCACTCAGTCCCGTTCTACTTCTTGTTCTTCACTCAGTCAGTTCTACTACTTGTTCTTCACTCAGTCAGTTCTACTTCTTGTTCTTCACTCAGTCAGTTCTACTACTTGTTCTTCACTCAGTCAGTTCTACTTCTTGTTCTTCACTCAGTCAGTTCTACTACTTGTTCTTCACTCAGTCAGTTCTACTACTTGTTCTTCACTCAGTCAGTTCTACTTCTTGTTCTTCACTCAGTCAGTTCTACTACTTGTTCTTCACTCAGTCAGTTCTACTTCTTGTTCTTTCACTCAGTCAGTTTCTACTACTTGTTCTTCACTCAGTCAGTTCTACTACTTGTTCTTCACTCAGTCAGTTCTACTTCTTGTTCTTCACTCAGTCAGTTCTACTACTTGTTCTTCACTCAGTTCTTCTTGTTCTTCACTCAGTTCTACTTGTTCTTCACTCAGTTCTACTTGTTCCTCACTCAGTCAGTTCTACTACTTGTTCTTCACTCAGTCAGTTCTACTACTTGTTCTTCACTCAGTTCTACTTGTTCTTCACTCAGTCAGTTCTACTACTTGTTCTTCACTCAGTCAGTTCTACTACTTGTTCTTCACTCAGTTCTACTTGTTCTTCACTCAGTTCTACTTGTTCTTCACTCAGTTCTACTACTTGTTCTTCACTCAGTCAGTTCTACTACTTGTTCTTCACTCAGTTCTACTTGTTCTTCACTCAGTCAGTTCTACTACTTGTTCTTCACTCAGTCAGTTCTACTACTTGTTCTTCACTCAGTTCTACTTGTTCTTCACTCAGTTCTACTTGTTCTTCACTCAGTTCTACTTGTTCTTCACTCAGTGAGTTCTACTACTTGTTCTTCACTCAGTCAGTTCTACTACTTGTTCTTCACTCAGTTCTACTTGTTCTTCACTCAGTCAGTTCTACTACTTGTTCTTCACTCAGTCAGTTCTACTACTTGTTCTTCACTCAGTTCTACTTGTTCTTCACTCATTTCTACTTGTTCTTCACTCAGTCAGTTCTACTACTTGTTCTTCACTCAGTCAGTTCTACTACTTGTTCTTCACTCAGTTCTACTTGTTCTTCACTCAGTCAGTTCTACTACTTGTTCTTCACTCAGTTCTACTTGTTCTTCACTCAGTCAGTTCTACTACTTGTTCTTCACTCAGTCAGTTCTACTATGTTCTTCACTTTAGTTCTACTTGTTCTTCACCTCAGTTCTACTTGTTCTTCACTCAGTCAGTTCTACTACTTGTTCTTCACTCAGTCAGTTCTACTACTTATTCTTCACTCAGTTCTACTTGTTCTTCACTCAGTCAGTTCTACTTCTTGTTCTTTACTCAGTCAGTTCTACCACTTGTTCTTCACTCAGTTCTACTTGTTCTTCACTCAGTTCTACTTGTTCTTCACTCAGTTCTACTACTTGTTCTTCACTCAGTCAGTTCTACTACTTGTTCTTCACTCAGTTCTACTTGTTCTTCACTCAGTCAGTTCTATTACTTGTTCTTCACTCAGTCAGTTCTACTTGTTCTTCACTCAGTCAGTTCTACTTCTTGTTCTTCACTCAGTCAGTTCTACTTCTTGTTCTTCACTCAGTCAGTACTACTTGTTCTTCACTCAGTCAGTTCTTCTACATGTTCTTCACTCAGTCAGTTCTACCTCTTATTCTTCACTCAGTTCTACTACTTTTTCTTCACTCAGTCAGTTCTACTACTTGTTCTTCACTCAGTCAGTTCTACTACTTGTTCTTCACTCAGTCAGTTCTACTTCTTGTTCTTCACTCAGTCAGTTCTACTTCTTGTTCTTCACTCAGTCAGTTCTACTACTTGTTCTTCACTCAGTCAGTTCTACTACTTGTTCTTCCTAACAGTCAGTTTCTACTTCTTGTTCTTCACTCAGTCAGTTCTACTTCTTGTTCTTCACTCAGTCAGTTCTACTACTTGTTCTTCACTCAGTCAGTTCTACTTCTTGTTCTTCACTCAGTCAGTTCTACTACTTGTTCTTCACTCAGTCAGTTCTACTTCTTGTTCTTCACTCAGTCAGTTCTACTACTTGTTCTGCGCTCAGTTCTACTGCGTGTTCTTCACTCAGTTCTACTACTAGTTCTTCACTCAGTAAGTTCTACTACTTGTTCTTCACTCATTTCTACTACTTGTTCTTCACACAGTCAGTTTTGCTACTTGTTCTTCACTCAGTTCTACTGTAGACAGCCTGTACTGTCTGCACAGACAGCCTTTGCTGTCTGCCAGCTTAGTTCATATTTCGCGGCATTTAAATCTTGTGTAATATGTCGCCGTGTGGATGCCAGATCCTATATGTACCCAGGTCCTCCACCATTGCCAAAGGAGCGTGTACAATTAGTGAAACCATTTGATGTAACAGGTGTAGACTATAGTGGTTCAATAATTTTAACAGGTACTTCAGATGGTGTTCCACTGAAAGTGTATGTATGATTGTTCACTTGTACTGTTACTAGGGCAGTTCATTTAGAAGTGGCTCAGGACTTGTCTGCAGAACAGTTTATACAGCTGTTTCGAAAATTTGCAGCTAGGAGATCCTGTCCGAGATTGATGATTTCGGATAATGCAGGTGCTCAACACTTGATAGAATTAAATAATAGTAACGATGTTCAATCTCTGTTAACCCAGCGAGGGTGTACCTGGAAATTTAATACTCCTAGAGCCCCTTGGCAGGGGGAGCTGTACGAAAAACTGATAGGCACAGTGAAGAGGTGTCTCCGTAAAGTACTACACCGGAAGAGAATTAATTTGGAAGAATTCCGTTCAGTGTTAGTGGAGGCGGAGAATCGTATAAATAATAGGCCTCTCTCGTACATGAGTGATACACCTGATGCAGATGTATTAACACCTTCTCACCTAATATGTGGAAGGAAATTGGAAGCTGCCCCTGTCTATAGAAATAATCCTGAAGAAAGTGATGAAGATTACAATGACGCGGCATTGTGATAAATTTAAAATGTTAAATAAAGTAATTGATCATTGGTCTAATGTGTGGCATAAGAAATGTCTTCTTACACTACGTGAACACTTTTATGGTGCGACAGAGGCAGTAAATCGACAGAACATTCAACCAGGTGACATTGTGTTAATTGACACTGAACAACATCGAACATTGTGGCCTCTGGGCAGAGTATTGATATTGTACCCAGATGCACAAGGTGTTGTCCGGAATGTCAAAGTGTTGTGTCGTGGCCAGGAAAGTTTATGCACAATTAATAAATTGATTCCCTTGGAATTAAATGGCATTCAATGAAATGTAAATGAAAATCTAAGGGAAAGTGACATGAGTGATACGGAAGGTAACGCTGACCAAGTGATGCAGGAAGATGAAATCGTAGTAAGACCTACTAGGAGAACAGCCACTCAAGCCAGAACCAGCTGGAATCATCTCCTAAAGGAAGGAGTAATTTGAGTTTTTTAGCAACGATCTCCACCCTGCCACAGTGTGCAAAATATATAGTATATTTTCCGAAAATATTGTATTTGTATGTAAATTAATAAAATATATTGTATTTAATAAAAATTATATTATAAAAAATGGGAAACTTGGCGCTTGTGCGGACGAGCGGAGACTCTCCATTGTGTTTTGAATGAGCCAAGAAAACGTTAGTGAAAATAAGAAGAATTTTTGACGCTCTAGAGGTTATATTGGGCTTACACCTCTCAAATAGGAGCCGAAATTGTTGGATGTGCCTTTCTGCATAATTTGAGCATTAAACCAATGTACAGGACAGCTCCAGAAACCTCAGATAAGCTATTTAAATTATGTTTGTAATTCTGGCCAGTGTTATCATCATAAATTTAGTTAGATGGAGGTTTTAGAGTATTATACACAGTAATCTCCAGACTAATTGGTGAGTGTTATGATTATAAATTCTCCTTCTGTTATATGAAAGTGTATATGTAATCATTATTTATTTTAATATACAATCCACAAAAATTATAATAATTTTACCAGAATTCCTGGTGTGTATGTACATATCATTTGCAAATAATATAGGTCTAGAGTAATTTGTGGAGAGATAGATGGTAGGTATCGAAGGGGGACATTTTTGCGACCTAGGTGCCCTAAAAAATTCCTACTTGTCTCTGTAACTTTGACAAATAATAATTATCTTTGTTACCATTTACTTGTATGTATGCAATGAGATTCATCCAGATAAATGTAAATTTTCCATACACATTATACAATGAAGCTTAGGCACCTTAGCGAGAACGGTGAAGTCTACGAGGCAGGGGGTGCAGAAGGACGACTGTGGGATCCAGTGCATATCGATGGTCTTGCCACTGGCTACCTCGTCCAACACCCACTGTACAAACTGACTGAACGATGGAGAGACAGAATTCTTGGGAGGTTTCTTCCCGTTGGTGGCCGCCCTCGGCACGGGGGGACCCAGCTTCTTGTATTTCGAGTATATGGACGAGAACAATTTCTTGTATATCGGATTACCATTGAGGATTTTGTTCCTGGGGAAGAAATAATGTTGGAGTGAGAAGGCACTATGAAGGTATGGAAAAAAAGAAGCACACTTTACAAGGAGTCAAGATGCAACAAGATGCAACAAGATGCAACAGAGAAGAGGCACAACACCGCCATTCACACCACAACCACCACCACTTCCATAAACACTATTTCGCCACTACCACAACCACAATTTCCACCACCAATAAACAACACCATAACTTCTACCAACACTTTTTCCACCGTCAATTTCACCATTACCAGTTCCACCAATACCAATTTTCCACTACCATTTCGGCTACCACCACCATTTCCACCAACACCATTTCCACCAACACCGTTTCCTCCAACACGAATTTCACCAATACCGCTTATACTTCCACTACCAACACAAACAACTTCCATTTTAACTACTATTATTCTTGCTACCAACACCAACAATTTCGCTACCACTTACCTCATCATTTTAACGACTTTCACTAACAACTTACACTAACAACTTACACTAACAACATACGCTAACAACTTACACTAACAACATACGCTAACAACTTACACTAACAACATACGCTAACAACTTACACTAACAACATACGCTAACAACTTACACTCACAACTAACACTAACAACTTAGCTGCCACGCAAAACACCTAAATTGAAGCCTTAATAAATATAGACCACTAACAATCACTGCGCACCAACCACCACAATCATTCATACAAACACACAGTTGTTACAACCATCACACCCATCAACCAAACACTTAAGTGTGACAACCATTACATGCATTCACCCTAAACTAAAAGTTAATTACAACAATCACAAACATCCACAAGTGTTACAACTACCACAATCATCCACACAAGCACACGTGTCACAACCATCTACATAAGTGTCACACCTATCCACCCAAACACAGGTGTCAAAACCATCCACACAAACACACAAGTGTCACAATCATCCACACAAACACACAAGTGTCACAACCATTCACACAGGCACACAAGTGTCACAAACTTCCAAACGAATTCCTAAGTATCACAGTCATCCAAACAAACACACGTGTCACAACCATCCAAACATAGTAATGTCAGAATCATCCAAATACACAAGTGTCACAACCACCCACATAAACCCACAGGTGTCAAAATAAGGAGGGAAGAGTAAAGGGACTGCCCACAAGAGAAGCAGAGTGAAGCAGTTTAGCAAGTAGTTTAGCAAGTAGTTTAGCAAGTAGTCTAGCAAGCAGTCTAGCAAGTAGTTTAGCAAGTAGTTTAGCAAGTAGGTCAGCAAGTAGTTTAGCAAGTAGTTTAGCAAGTAGTTCAGCAAGTAGTTTAGCAAGTAGTTCAGCAAGTAGTTTAGCAAGTAGATTAGCAAGTAGTTTAGCAAGTAGTTTAGCAAGTAGTTTAACAAGTAGTTTAGCAAGTAGTTTAGCAAGTAGTTTAGCAAGTAGTTCAGCAAGTAGTTCTGCAAGTAGTTTAGCAAGTAGTTTAACAAGTAGTTTAGCAAGTAGTTCAGCAAGTAGTTCTGCAAGTGGTTTAGCAAGTAGTTTAGCAAGTAGTTTAACAAGTAGTTTAGCAAGTAGTTCAGCAAGTAATTCGGCAAGTGGTTCAGCAAGTAGTTCAGCAAGTGGTTCAACAAGTGGTTCAGCAAGTAGTTCTGCAAGTGGTTCAGCAAGTGGTTCAACAAGCGGTTCTGCAAGTAGTTTAGCAAGTTGTTCTGCAAGTAGTTTAGCAAGTAGTTCAGCAAGTAGTTCAGCAAGTAGTTTAGCAAGTAGTTCAGCAAATAGTTTAGCAAGTAGTTCAGCAAGTAGTTTAGCAAGTAGTTCAGCAAGTAGTTTAGCAAGTAGTTTAGCAGGTAATTCAGCAAGTAGTTTAGCAAGTAGTTCAGCAAGTAGTTTAGCAGGTAGTTCAGCAAGTAGTTCAGCAAGCAGTTTAGGAAGTGGTTTAGGAAGTAGTTTAGCAAGTAGTTTAGCAAGTAGTTTAGCAAGTGGTTCAGCAAGTAGATCAGCAAGTAGTTTAGCAAGTAGTTTAGCAAGTAGTTTAGCAAGTAGTTTAGCAAGTAGTTCAGCAAGTAGTTCAGCAAGTAGTTTAGCAAGTAGTTTAGCAAGTAGTTTAGCAAGTAGTTTAGCAAGTAGTTCAGCAAGTAGTTCAGCAAGTAGTTCAGCAAGTAGTTCAGCAAGTAGTTTAGCAAGTAGTTTAACAAGTAGTTCAGCAAGTAGTTTAGCAAGTAGTTCAGCAAGTAGTTCAGCAAGTAGTTCAGCAAGTACTTTAGCAAGTAGTTTAGCAAGTAGTTCAGCATGTAGTTTAGCAAGTAGTTTAGCAAGTAGTTCAGCAAGTAGTTTAGCAAGTAGTTTAGCAAGTAGTTCAGCAAGTAGTTTAGCAAGTAGTTTAGCAAGTGGTTCAGCAAGTAGTTCAGCAAGTAGTTTAGTAAGTAGTTTAGCAAGTAGTTTAGCAAGTAGTTTAGCAAGTAGTTTAGCAAGTAGTTCAGCAAGTAGTTCAGCAAGTAGTTCAGCAAGTAGTTCAGCAAGTAGTTTAGCAAGTAGTTTAGCAAGTAGTTTATCAAGTAGTTTAGCAAGTAGTTCTGCATGTAGTTTAGCAAGTAGTTTAGCAAGTAGTTCAGCAAGTAGTTTAGCAAGTAGTTTAGCAATTAGGTTAGCAAGTAGTTTAGCAAGAAGTTCAGCAAGTAGTTCAGCAAGTAGTTTAGCAAGTAGTTTAGCAAGTAGTTTAGCAAGTAGTTCAGCAAGTAGTTTAGCAAGTAGTTTAGCAAGTAGTTTAGCAAGTAGTTTAGCAAGTGGTTCAGCAAGTAGTTTAGCAAGTAATTCAGCAAGTAGCTCAGCAAGTAGTTTAGCAAGTAGTTCAGCAAGTAGTTCAGGAAGTAGTTTAGCAAGTAGTTTAGCAAGTAGTTTAGCAAGTAGTTTAGCAAGTAGTCTAGCAAGTAGTCTAGCAAGTAGTTTAGCAAGTAGTTTAGCAAGTAGTTTAGCAAGTAGTTCAGCAAGTAGTTCAGGAAGTAGTTTAGCAAGTAGTTTAGCAAGTAGTTAGCAAGTAGTCTAGCAAGTAGTTTAGCAAGTAGATTAGCAAGTAGTTTAGCAAGTAGTTAGCAAGTATTCAGCAAGTAGTTTAGCAAGTAGTTCAGCATAGCTAGTTTAGCAGTATTAGCAAGTAGTTAAGATTTAGCAAAAGTTTAGTTTCAAGTGTTAGCAAGTAGTTCAGCAAGTAGTTTAGCAAGTGGTTTAGCAAGTAGTTTAGCAAGTAGTTTAGTAAGTAGTTCAGCAAGTAGTTCTGAAAGTGGTTTAGCAAGTAGTTTAGCAAGTAGTTTAACAAGTAGAATAGTTCAGCAAGTAGTTCATTCAGCAAGTAGTTTAGCAAGTAGTTAGCAAGTAGTTTAACAAGTAGTTTGCAAGTAGTTTAACAAGCAGTTTAGCAAGTAGTTTAGCAAGTAGTTTAGCAAGTGGTTCTGCAAGTAGTTCAGCAAGTAGTTTAGCAAGTGGTTCAGCAAGTGGTTCAGCAAGTAGTTCAGCAAGTGGTTCAGCAAGTGGTTCGGCAAGTAGTTCAGCAAGTAGTTTAGCAAGTAGTTCTGCAAGTAGTTTAGCAAGTAGTTTAGCAAGTAGTTCAGCAAGTAGTTTAGCAAGTAGTTTAGCAAGTAGTTCAGCAAGTAGTTCAGCAGTAGTTTAGCAGTAGTTCTGCAAGTAGTTTAGCAAGTAGTTTAGCAAGTAGTTCAGCAAGTAGTTTAGCAAGTAGTTTAGCAAGTAATTTAGCATGTAGTTTAGCAAGTAGTTCAGCAAGTAGTTTAGCAAATAGTTTAGCAAGTAATTTAGCATGTAGTTTAGCAAGTAGTTTAGCAAGTAGTTCTGCAAGTAGTTTAGCAAGTAGTTTAGCAAGTAGTTCAGCAAGTAGTTTAGCAAGTAGTTTAGCAAGTAGTTTAGCAAGTAGTTTAGCAAGTAGTTTAGCAAGTTGTTCAGCAAGTAGTTCAGCAAGTAGTTTAGCAAGTAGTTTAGCAAGTAGTTTAGCAAGTAGTTTAGCAAGTAGTTCAGCAAGTAGCTCAGCAAGTAGTTTAGCAAGTAGTTTAACAAGTAGTTTAGCAAGTAGTTTAGCAAGTAGTTCAGCAAGTAGTTTAGCAAGTAGTTTAGCAAATAGTTAGCAAGTAGTTTAGCAAGTAGTTTAGCAAGTAGTTTAGCAAGTAGTTCTGCAAGTAGTTTAACAAGTAGTTTAGCAAGTAGTTCAGCAAGTAGTTTAGCAAGTAGTTTAGCAAGTAGGTTAGCAAGTAGTTTAGCAAGAAGTTCAGCAATTAGTTCAGCAAGTAGTTTAGCAAGTAGTTTAGCAAGTAGTTTAGCAAGTAGTTCAGCAAGTAGTTTAGCAAGTAGTTTGGCAAGTAGTTTAGCAAGTAGTTTAGCAAGTAGTTTAGCAAGTAGTTCAGCAAGTAGTTTAGCAAGTAGTTCAGCAAGTAGTTCAGCAAGTAGTTTAGCAAGTAGTTCAGCAAGTAGTTTAGCAAGTAGTTCAGCAAGTAGTTCAGGAAGTAGTTTAGCAAGTAGTTCAGCAAGTAGTTTAGCAAGTAGTTTAGCAAGTAGTTTAGCAAGTAGTTTAGCAAGTAGTTTAGCTAGTAGTTTAACAAGTAGTTTAGCAAGTAGTTTAGCAAGTAGTTTTGCAAGTAGTTCAGCAAGTGGTTTAGCAAGTAGTTTAGCAAGTAGTTTAGCAAATAGTTCAGCAAGTAGTTCTGCAAGTGGTTTAGCAAGTAGTTTAGCAAGTAGTTTAACAAGTAGTTTAGCAAATAGTTCAGCAAGTAGTTTAGCAAGTGGTTCAGCAAGTAGTTCAGCAAGTAGTTTAGCAAGTAGTTTAGCAAGTAGTTTAACAAGTAGTTTAGCAAGTAGTTTTGCAAGTAGTTTAACAAGTAGTTTAGCAAGTTGTTCAGCAAGTGGTTCAGCAAGTAGTTTAACAAGTAGTTTAGCAAGTAGTTTTGCAAGTAGTTTAACAAGTAGTTTAGCAAGTTGTTCAGCAAGTGGTTCAGCAAGTGGTTCAGCAAGTGGTTCAGCAAATAGTTCAGCAAGTAGTTTAGCAAGTAGTTCAGCAAGTGGTTCAGCAAGTGGTTCAGCAAGTGGTTCAGCAAGTGGTTCAGCAAATAGTTCAGCAAGTAGTTTGGCAAGTAGTTCAGCAAGTGGTTCAGCAAGTGGTTCAGCAAGTAGTTCAGCAAGTGGTTCAGTAAGTGGTTCAGCAAATAGTTCAGCAAGTGGTTCAGCAAGTGGTTCAGCAAATAGTTCAGCAAGTAGTTTAGCAAGTAGTTCAGCAAGTGGTTCAGCAAGTGGTTCAGTAAGTAGTTTAGCAAGTAGTTCGGCAAGTAGTTCAGCAAGTGGTTCAGTAAGTGGTTCAGCAAGTGGTTCAGCAAGTGGTTTAGCAAGTGGTTCAGCAAGTGGTTCAGCAAGTAGTTCAGCAAGTGGTTCAGCAAGTGGTTTAGCAAGTGGTTCAGCAAATAGTTCAGCAAGTAGTTCGGCAAGTAGTTCAGCAAGTGGTTCAGTAAGTGGTTCAGCAAGTGGTTCAGCAAGTAGTTCAGCAAGTAGTTTAGCAAGTGGTTCAGCAAGTGGTTCAGCAAGTAGTTCAGCAAGTGGTTCAGCAAGTGGTTTAGCAAGTGGTTCAGCAAGTTGTTCAGCAAGTAGTTTAGCAAGTAGTTTAGCAAGTAGTTCAGCAATAGTTCAGCAAGTAGTTCAGCAAGTAGTTCAGCAAGTTGAGTTTCAGCAAGTAGTTTAGCAAGTAGTTTAGCAAGTAGTTCAGCAAGTAGTTTAGCAAGTAGTTCAGCAAGTAGTTTAGCAAGTAGTTCAGCAAGTAGTTCAGCAAGTAGTTTAGCAAGTAGTTTAGCAAGTAGTTCAGCAATGTTTGTAGTTAGCAAGTAGTTTAGCAAAGTAGTTTAGCAAGTAGTTTAGCAAGTAGTTAGCGTAGTTACAAGTAGTTTAGCAAGATAGTTAGCAAGTAGTTCAGCAAGTAGTTTAGCAAGTAGTTCAGCAAGTAGTTCAGCAAGTAGTTCAGCAAGTAGTTCAGCAAGTGGTTCAGTAAGTGGTTCAGCAAATAGTTCAGCAAGTGGTTCAGCAAGTGGTTCAGCAAGTGGTTCAGCAAGTGGTTCAGCAAGTGATTGGTGAGGAAATTCCAGATCACTTTGTTAAGGGTGAAAGAAGACAATGTACAACGTAGGAGGAAAGAAACTGCTTTTATTATCTTAATAAAAATATTTCAGGGTTAACAGAACATTAAACTCGTCTTCAGAGATGTGCATTAACTATATTATTTCAGCGTTACATACACGACGAGCAAATCTGAAAACAGCGTTAAACGACCTAAACAAATTATTCATTATATGATGCACGACAAATGTCAACGACCTACGTCAAGCACATTACCCAGTAGGTTGTTGCAGTGCTGCTTACACCCTTGCTGACCTCCACAAGGGCAGCACAGCCAAATCTGAGCCCGGAACCTTTCGGTTACGAGCCAAAAGGTTTCATAACAAACAAATTTGGCATCCACACTATGTATAAGGTCCAGGAGGCTAGACATCAGCAAAAACAGACACCAGATGCAACAACAGGAGGAACAGACACCAGATGCAACAACAGGAGGGACAGACACCAGATGCAGCAGCTGGAGGGACAGACACCAGATGCAGCAACAGGAGGGACAGACACCAGATGCAGCAGCTGGAGGGACAGACACCAGATGCAGCAGCAGGAGGGACAGACACGAAATGCAGCAATAGGAGGAACAGACACTAGATGCAACAAGAGGCATACACCTGTAGGCAGATACTGGACACAGCATGGGGAGGAACACACCTGTAGGCAGACACTGGACAAAGCATGGGGAGGAACACACCTGTAGGCAGACACTGGACACAGCATGGGGAGGAACACACTGTAGGCAGACATGGACACATGCATGGGGAGGAAAACACTGTAGCAGACACTGACACAGCATGGGGAGGAACACACTGTAGGCAGAACTGGACACAGCATGGGAGGAACACACTGTAGCAGACAAATGGACACAGCATGGGGAGGAACACACCTGTAGGCAGACACTGGACACAGCATGGGGAGGAACACACCTGTAGGCAGAAACTGGATACAGCATGGGGAGGAACACATCTGTAGGCAGATACCAGGCGTAACGTGGAAAGGAATGCACCTGTAAGCAGACACCAGATAGAGTAAAGGAGGAACACACCTGTTAGCAGACATCAGATATAGTAAGGGAAGAACACACCTGTAGGCAGACACCAGACGCAGGAGAGGGTGTCTTGTGATCATGAAGGACAGTGGTGCTGGGGTTTCATTCATAACTTGTTGGAGTTCCTCTGGTGTGGGTCTGTCAGAGGAAAATGTTCTATGTAGACCAGTAGTTGTTAGAGCTCTGTTAAAGGAAATCAACCTGACGACA